TCTCTAGGAGTTTAAGCCTCATTTGAAAGATAATCCATAAAAAACATCGATAATACAGTTATAGAAATTTTCTAAATTATCAGAAGTATATTTACTCTCCATATATTCTATCATCTATGTTCTACATATAACTCTATGGTATGTTTTATAAACCAGTCGTAACAGGACTACTGAAATAGGAGAAAATAGATAGGTAATAAGAAGAAAGTAGATAAACCTACCCAGAAATAGCACATGTATGTACATACTACATAACATAACAGAGGCAGCTAATGTTTAACAGGTACCAGGTATGTTTCCAGTACAGAGTAACAGCTGCCACCCCAATCTGTATATTTCCTAAATTCAGATCAAGATATATTAGGCATTCTCAAGGGAAGGTATCCCTGTGTCCGCTGAGATACGAAATTTGTGGAAAAGGTTTTTGGGTCACTTAAAAACAAGGATTTGCGGAAGATTCTTTATATCAAGTCCTTCTTTCTAAGCCCTAAATAACTTCAGAAGTTTCTACCCAACTCACCCCTTTTATTTACCATTCACTATGCAATATTTCATGTTTGCTAATATTTCACTTCTCCAATGAGAGACTACTGGCAACTCTAGGCCAAAAAGTTTCTTTGGTGAACTTATATTTTGAATTTCCCAAGCTAATGCTGATAATTTAACATATAAAATACTCTACTAAAATAGCTTTTCTTTGCTAATAGTTGCAGGTTCAGATCAGGAAAACTTTTGGTAAAACATAGTTTATGATTCTGAACATTTTTGCATATCAGTTATTTCAACTCTACTTAACAAACCATTTCATATGAAACATCATTTGCTAGCAACATTTTATTTCTTTCCACAGGTCTAGAGTACCGGTGATATATACTGGCCTCGAGACATAAGGCGACTTACAAATGGGACTTGACATTCTTCTAGGTTGCTCATCTAAAACTATTAGTCATGTTACACCACTTCCTTCATTTAAAAAAACTGCACCCAGACACTCATTTTATTTGAACTTTTTGAATTACGCAACTAAAAAAGATATTACCAAATGGTAATTAGTTCCCTCATAATCCCTGATTACATACTCCCTATTCATTCAGCTGAAAAACCAGAAACCAACCCCGAAGTCCACAAAATCCAAATAATTGAAATATTATAAACTTCTGAACCAATACATATGTGGCGAGGGTACCCCAACACAAAAAAAATGTTTCCCCCTTGGAGATGACAGTATCTTCTCTTATTTGAAACTGCTCATGATTTTGAGAAGGGTAAAAGATTCAGAGCTCTCTGCACCCGGGAAACAGCTTTGGGAGCAGGAAGAAATTGCCTAAATGACTAACTGCGGCAAAGTTCATGCTTAGACTGTCAGAGGCGGCTGTCGAGCTTCCTGTCTTGGGAGTAGCACACTTTTACCCAAGTATCTGGGGCGGGGGGTGTAACAGTGGAGTTTGTTGCAACACATGTCCTTACATACCCCGTAGGAAAAGGATGGCCTGGGAGTCCTAGGAGCTGTCACAGCAGAGGTAATTCATGGCTCGACTTTTGTTGGGCTCAGATAAGAGATCTGGATACTTCAAGCTTATCTGTTTCTATGTTTTGTATTTGTTTTCTTTTCTCCTAGTTTCCTAAGAAGGTTTTTTGGAAAAGCTCTGACCTTAGGGGAGCTAGAAGAATGGCAGAGAGGCTCTGGCCGGATTGGCTCAGTTGGTTGGGCTTCATCTGGTCAGGGCACACGCCTGGGGTGCAGGCTCGATCCCCAGTAGGGGGGGTGCAGGAGGCTGCTGATTGATATTTCACTCTCACATCGATGCTTCTCTCTCTCTCCCTCTTCCTTTCTCTCTCTCTCTCTAAGTATCAATAAACTTTTTTTTTTAAAGAGTGGTAGAGAGGTCAGTGGTTGCCATGTATCCCAGGTAGAATCCACCATCTTATGATCCAGGCAAATCAATTGGCTGGTGCAGGCAAGCACCTGGGGAGGAGGCGAGGGTTGGGAGTCTCCCCCGAGTAAATACTGTAACCCAGTGAGATTAGGTTAATGGTGCATTCGGCCTTGTGCAGAGACAGCTGGGACACGCGTTCACTAGGGACTGGCAGCCCCTGCGTGCAGCTCCTCACCTGAACCCTCACCCTCACTCACTGACTCCTGGACCTGAGCAGGGCGCCTATCGGCAGAGCTGGCAGTGTCCTGAGCCATAGATTCCTCTCCGCTCTCCTTACAAGGGAGTACCTTGTAGATGCAACTTGTGAGAGTAAAGGCTGAAGCTCAAAATACCAAGGTTAAGTGTTGTTGAGAAGTACTAGCCTCTTGTAAGAGGAGACTGCCAGAGGCGGGGGCTGGCTGAATGGGTAAGGCTTCTTTGCCAGGGTTAGGCTTAGAACAACAATAATCTCTGTACTCTGCTATTTGAGAGCCTCACTACAGTTTCCTAGTTTCAGATCCTTTTTACTCACGCTGGAGGCCCACTGCTCAATGATCCTCGGTTAACATCAACGCCTGACCCATTCTTAGTTCTCCGACCGCTTTCCCCTAACGTACAGCTTCACTTACAGGCAAAGACTGGCCTGTAGCACAAAACAATGGAGTTGCAAGGAAAGGTTTATTGTTTCTCATTTTATCAGATGATTTACCCTGTACTTTGGCCCCACAATCGAACTAGGCTATTTTAAAAATCTTAAAATACAGTGGATTTTCCAGGTAAACTGTATCTTGGGACCTTTCTTCCACCCATCACAGTTTTGGCAAAAATCAATCTTTAAAAATGCTCAGAATGCAAGGGAAAGAAAACAGACGCGGGCTCTCAGTGTGTTCTCAGCCCCCAAAGGGCCTGATCCAACTGCAGGCTGTTTGAAGAATAGAGTAAGGACTTCTCATCTGAACTGAAAGAGTGGTTAAAATAATCACTAAAAATATAAGTGCTGTAGCAATAGCTCAAGGAACTGAGTACCATTCAGCCACAGTTATGGTACTGGGTTGCCAAGTTTGAGATTATATTCTTTTTTGGGGGGGAAAGGGAAATGCAGGGAGAATTCCTGATTTTTTTTCCCCCTTCAATATTTTGTGGACAGAAAACTATTCCAGAGAAACAATCTAGAATTCCAGAATGAAGATGATATATTTTTCAAAACTCCAGTTTACAGCCACCAAATTAAAAACACAGATACTTCATCGAGACGTCTGCTGTGAGAACAGTCCAGGGACAAGTTGTAAAATGAGAATTTCATAGGATTAGTGCCAGTTCCTTGCTAAAACAAAACTTTTAACACTTTAAAAGATATGGTGTATTGAAATGATTTAATATTTAACCTCATCAAAAAGAAAGAAATACAAACATTCATGGGAGTCAAATGATACCACACCTGCTATGGTCTCAATATCTGTGCCTCTCCCCTCCCCCCCAATTCATATGTTGAAAATTAACATCCAATGTGATGATCCTAGGAGGTGTGGCCTTGGGAGGTAATCAGGCCATAAGGGTGGGGCTCTCATGAATGGGATTAGAGCCTTGGCAAGCGAGAACCCAGAGAGCTCATCTAGAAAGTGGGTTCTCACCAGACACCCTCTGGCATCTTGATGTTGAACTTCCCAGCCTCCAGAACTGTGAGAAATAAATGTGGCTTATAAGCTACTCGGTTTATGGTATTTGGTTATAGAAGCTCAAATGGACTAAGATAAGATCACCATAGCCACAGCCTGTGTTGGTATACCTGTCTCAATCCAAGGAGTTACCTGACAGCCATTTACTGCATCTGCATTACATTAAAGGCCCAACTTCCTTGCCACAGGCCCTTGCCTTACAAAGGGGCAGCAGGAAATGTTGTGAGGCCACCTCTGTGTTAAGAATAAAAAGTGCCTTTCTGCTATAATACCTAAGTATGTTATGATTCTTGTATTCTTTTCCTGTCACCTGCTATTGTTCTACATCAGGGTACACTAGATGAAAGAATCCTTCCATTCTCCTTAGGACAGGCATGCAAGGCCATTTTGGGAAAACCACTCATATCATTACTTCAATTCCTTGTTGTTATGATTCTCTTGTCAGGAGGGCCTCTGAGTACAGGCCCACAACCCTTTTTCTAAAGTCCTTGCACTAAATGTATTTAAAATTCAAACCCTTTTTTTCCAGATAGCTTATCTCTTGCATATATTATACAAACTTCCAATGGGGTCTAAGCCAGCACCTCATAATCAAATACATTAATATTTCTGTAGTGAAATATAGGCATTTTCACAATAAATAAGGACTGCCAATAGTCTCAAATCAAATCAGGGCAAACTTTGTAATTAAATGAGTTTTGGTGTTAATTTTGCAAAAAAAAACCTTTCAGTTTTCTGGGCATTTGGATTTTAAAATGGAGAGTAAGAGAGTATGGATTTGTACTGGGTTTTCAGAGTTCAGACAAATTGATGTATTGGTGCTTAGAGAAAGAAGAGATGGGCCGCATTGCAAATAACCTCAGGGGACCTTTCCAAGGGCTCTTTAGTCACAGAATTTTACTACATTAAACAGGGTTTAAGGTAAGTGGCTTGTCCTTGTTCCTGGGCTCCTGTCCCGTAACCTTAAAATATTCTGTCCCTGAGAATGAGTCTGTGATGGTACTGTCGTCATAGACTCTGAGCTGCCTTGCTGTTCTGCAGGGAAGGGGCCCAGAAGTGGGCAGACCTGCCCACTCTGAGCCTCACAGGAACATTCCCAGACTAGAATGAAAACCTCGACAAGGCAAGAGTGTTGGAGCCAACTGGCACGCTTGCACATGACTCCCTGATACAGTAATGACACAGTTTGATTTTTTAGGGAATATAAAAACTCAAAAATTAAAAAAGTGCCTTTTTCCTTAATATAGGAGAAAGAAATTTTTTAAAGCCCTAATCTTTGAAGTTTTCAGGTTGGGATTGGGAAGATTATATTCTGGGTTGTGCTAGGGATTCTATACTAGGGAGCAGGTAGATTGTCCGTGAGATGAGGGGTTGTCGCCAGTGGAAACAAACGGAGATAAAGGCTTACTTGGCTTCCAGGGCCAGTGCAATGATGCCCGCAGCCATGGGGGCTGAGGCAGATGTCCCCGTGTGGTTGTCCGTGCACCGCTGCCTCAGGTCCGTAGTGATCTAGAAGACAGAAGGGCACATTTTTAGGGTTCTGGGGCCAATGTGAATCACGTGCAAGTAGAAAGAAATGCACTTATACAAGTGGAATGGAGGGGTGTTGAAATAGTTGTTTTAAATTCCCTGTTCCTGTGCTCCTATGACCATATCACTTCCAGAGAATCGCCTAAATCAACTTTGGAAAGGGCAGGGTTTGGAAACTGGACTAGGGGAGCGTTTGGCCTGAAACATAAGGGTTGGGCAAGTTCTCCTTAAATTTATTCCCTAGACCCCTAGACACCTCACTTGCTTCACCCTTGTCCCAGCTCTAGTTAAAGCTACAGTTCTTTCATTACTCAATATTTTTCCTTTTTAAAAATCCTCACCTGAGGATATTTTTTCCATTGCTTTTCAGAGAGAGTAGAAGGAAGGAAGGGGAAGGGAGAGGGGGACACAGGGAAAGGAAGAAGGGAAGAAGGGGAGAGGAGAGAGAGGAAACATTGATGTGAGAGAGGAGACACATTGACTGGTTGCCTCCTGCACACATTCCGACCGAGGAACTGGGAGTGAACCCTCAACCCAGGTATGTGCCCTTGACCAGGAATCAAACCTGCAACCCTTTAGTGTGCAGGCCCACACTCTAACCACTGAGCAACACTGGCCAGGGCTACCCCACTATTTTTAATAATCCAGTCATGTTGCACAGCAACCAAACGGTGAGTTAGGCATTGGTAGCATAAGGAGTAAAGCACTCAGCCTGGCCCCTGCCCTTCCAGAACTGTTAGGTAGGGGGAGCCTCAGGTTTTAAGCAAAAGGTATGCTCTGCCATAGGAGGAACATTTGTTTAAGGACTTTTTAGAATTCATGGAAATGTTACATGGAAGAACCAAGGATTTCTCAAAGATCTAACACAAATACTAAAAGCCAGGTTCAACCCATGCGCTTGATATGAAATTACAGCACTAAGTACATCTTATCTATAATAATAAAAGGGTAATATGCTAATTAGACCAGACATCCTTCCTGATGAAGCCGGGGCCAGAGGGAAGCCAGCCCGGGTCCTGGGTGTCAGCGGGTGGCCGGAGAAGGGAAGCAGCCTGAGTCCCGGGTGCCTACCGGCAGCCAGAGGAGGGAAGTCCGGGTCCCGGGTGCCCAAGGGAAGCCTGTGCCTGCAGCTGGGGAAAGGAAGGCCTACTCTTGCATGAATTTTCATGCATTGGGCCTCTAGTATATTATAGAAGGACGTCAGCTATTTCTTCATTTTCATCAATCACAATGTGAGAACTAGATCACGTTTTCCTCTTAGTGTGAATGTGGCTCAGTAACAGACCCATCAAGCAAGGATGGTGCTTGTCAACCTTTGTTTCATGACCATTTCACTAAGAAAAATTAAATTCAGATTGTCCTTGACAAGAGATTAAACACTATGGGGTAAGATTTTGTGAACCACTGTAATATCTAAAATTTTGTAAACCCATTCCTCCGGACAAGCATCCATTTTTGGCCCCTTGGGGCTGATATCACTCCTGCTGGGAACGCACAGGGCGTGTGAGATGAGCTGGTGGTCTCATAACAGTTATTGGAGACATCAGTAAAGCTTTCTTCAGCATTACAACAAATATAGTCCCCATATTTTACAGGTGAGAGACTGAGGTGAAAGGTCATCAGAAAGGCACAGGGAGATAGAAGCCAAGTCCTGTTGTTCTAAGGAGCATCCTTTAAGAAGAATGTGGAGATTGGGTGATTTGGAAATAAATTTGGCCTTCCCAGGAACAGCTTTGTAACTCCCTAAAAATAAATCCTCCCCTAAAACCTCCCTCAGTGCCACATGAGGTCAGAGTAGACTCTAATTACTTGTGTTGGATCTAGATTGACATCCTGACTGAGCTTCACGAGAGGCCATCAGTACTCATGTCTTTCCTTTGCTCCTTTGGAACCTCCACTGTTACCAGAGTCTCCATACCAGGCAGGGACTGATACACAAGAAGTGGGAGGGTAAGCAAAAACATACAGAACCACACAGACCTGGTGATGGGAGAGAGGAGACAAGCTTTGAACTCTTTTCCTAAATGATTGAATGGTGTGCCAGAGCCCCAGCTGTGCGTTTGGCAGGCAGGGAAGACTGTTTCTAGCCATCTTCTCAACCTCCACATTGGATGCCTGCAAGATGTCTGGATAAACAAAGCCCTAAACACTCCTACATTAAAAAACTTCCTGTATTTATTTAAAATTATTTTTTCTAATCGATTTTTAGAGAGAGGGAGGGAAATATCAATGTGAGAGCGAAACACTGATCACTGCCTCCTGCACACCCAATACTGGGGGCTCAAGCCCAAAATGCAGGCATGTGTCCTGACCAGGGATTGAACCAGCAACCTCTCAGTACATGGGACTACACCCAACCATGGGATTGGGCTTAAGCCAGCAGTCAGACATCCCTCTCGCAGTCCAGGGCTCTTGCAGTCCGGGACCTTCGCTCTTTACTGCCCGCCTGCAGGGGAGGTGGGAGAGGCTCCTGCCACGGCCACTGCGCTTACCAGCCATGAGCCCAGCTTCTGGCTGAGTGGCACTTCCCCTGTGGGAGTGCACTGACCACCAGGGGGCAGCTCCTGTGTTGAGCGTCTGCCCCTGGTGGTCAGTGCGTGTCATAGCAACCAGTCGTTCCGCCGTTCAGTTGATTTGCATATTAGCTTTTTATTATATAGGATATGCACATTGCCGTACAACAGGTCTCTAGAACTTTTAATCTTGCATGACTGAAACTCTACCCACTGAGTAACTCGACTTTTTCCCCTCCCCCCGACCCTGGCAACAACCATTCCACTTCTGCTTCTATGAGTTTGACTACTTTAGGTACCTCTTATAGGTAGAATTATACAGCATTTGTCTTTTTTTTATGATTGGTTTATTTCACTTAAAATTCTGTCCTCAAGATTCACCCATGTTGTAGGATTTCCCACTTTTTAGGCTGCATAGTATTCCATTGTATGTATATGCCACATTGTCTTTATTAATTCATCTGTCAATGGACACTTGGGTTACTTCCCCCTCTTGGTATTGTGAATAATGCTGCAATGAACATGGGTGTGCAAATATCTCTTCGAGATTCTGTTTTCAATTATTTTAGATATGTACCCGAAGTGGGACTGCTGGATCATTGAAAAGGTATTTCTACTTCATTTGAAATTATGGGTAAATGTGCAGCCCTATTTTCCAAAGGCCTGATCCCTAAATCAATGCATAAACAGCCCAGGAGCAGCCGGTTTCCCTGTTTTCAGATATGCTCTTGTTGAGAGATGGCCTTGCTGCATTCTTCCCATTTTACCTCACCCTCATGGTCACGTTCCTTTGCCAAGTTTTATTTTTTTTTTCAATGACTTGTGCCTGGATTCAAGATTTTTCATGATGTTTTCCCACTTGGCTCCCTTTCCTTATTCTTCAGCTGCACCAGACACTTTCAATGCACAGAATCAAATCCAGAATAAACACTCCAAGTGTGTGTTGCATTTTTGAGTCTAATAAATAACTACCTCCTGCCAATCCCAAACATGAACAATAAAAGTTTTAGGATGTCGGGTTTGCAATAGGAATTTGCCCTCTCTATATATAGACACCAGGAATAGACACCTATATATTATATTATACATATAATAATAGACTTAAACAGAAAGCTACTCAGCACTTTTACATATAAACACCAATTTAGTGATAAATGCTATTGGTATAGGTAGGACTGCAGAATTCCAGTCAACACTGTGCTTTTATCTCTCTCCCCCCTCACCCCGCCCCTCCCCGCCAACCACTTCAAGGAGATGAAACTTGAGTAGTGAGCAGGGGTGGGAAGGGAGTGGAACAGGAAGGTGATGGAGAGGAGGAAGGAATGGAGAGAAAAGAAACAAAAACATCCTCACTCCCTTCTCATCCTGCCTTAAGTGGAAATTCCAGCTGGGTCATCTCAAGAGGAAGTTACTGTCAGTGGTAAAGATATTTAGGTGTAAATTACCAGAAAGATCTAAGGCAGGGTTTTCATCATTAAGAGTAGCCACAGTACCGGAGAAATTTTTGTGTCTATCTTTAGAAAGAAAAGGCAAAGACCACCAAGGAGCACGCAGTCTTGAAGAAAAATGATGTTCTGAAAACTGGAACCACGCGGGGTAACCCCATTAATCATAACGCATGCATACAAGATCTGACACGGTCATTTAAAGGAAAAGTTGCACTCGGCCCACATCCCAGGGCAGGGAGTCCAGAGATGCTGTATGTGAAAACGGAACAATAAAGCACTTCACGTTTAGATTCCATTTTAAAGAATGTCTCGGAACCTGGTTGCAAGCCCGGTGGCACATCTTGCACGCTCCAAATTCCCTCAATTCGCTACCCAAATCAGAAACAGAATTTCCCTCCTCAGAACCTCTCTGATTGCTCAAGAAAATATCATTTCTGCCCATCAGAGTGAAGAAAACAGAAGATGACACCAGGCCCCAAGCCAGATCAAAGCTGTCCTGATCGGCAAATTAGATTTTGAGCCTGTCCCAGGATGAGTAGCAGATGGTTTTTTTGGACTCTACAAAGTTAGGGACGCCATCCTCCTATGGTGAGAAGGGGTGGGTTTTGTTCAGGCCCAGCCCGGCTTCCTTGGAGAAGAACCATCACTTTTTCTCATCCTAAACCATTATTTCCTAATCTTTCATATTTCATTACTGGGGCTGATTGAATCTTTTATTTTAGCCTGTTGATGTCATTCTCCGGGGAATCTCAGTCCAGACTGACTTTGGCCGTAAGCGACAAGCCTTTATAGCAACCCTCCAGTTAAGAGTTTTTTATCTCTGGGTTATCTTGTGATCTGTTTTATTTTGAAGGTGCCATATTGTCTCTTATCTGGTAAAAGTGCAACTGAACAGATAGTTTTCAAACATGAAATGAATTTGTCTCTGGTGTTGATTTTCATTTGGATTAGAAATGTGCCCAGAAAGCTGTTTCAGAAATAGCTCTGAGCGATAAGGAGAGAAATGAAAAACCTTAAA